GAAGACAAGAGAGCTAAAAGGGTCAGGAGGCTAAGAAAAGAATGAGATAAGACGTTTCGGTCCATAAGTCATGAATTTGACCACCTGTTTGATGCTCGACTCATTGAATAAATTTATCGTATTTTAACACAAAACAAAACGAGCACGAGTAGTATATATGCCTTAATTTTTTCCATCCCACCCATTTTATCAATGTTCTAACTCTTTATTTTTCAAATTAAGTGATACCATGACCGCCCGGGCTATCAATGTAAGTATGCCTGCTAGTAATGTTACTTTCTACACGCCGGCAACTGCTGAAATATGTCCTTTGATCCCGGACTACATATTTCTTCAATTGGTGACCAACGTATGTTCCATGTACTTGCGTCTTCTCTTCGGAGATAGCCCAAGCAGTCGTCTCTTTCCTTGCGGGTACCACTCACTGATGCGTGGTGTCCACCAGTTGTTGGCAAGGCGAGCAAAATGCCCTGTCCATCGGATTTTACTTTTTTTTTCTTCAGTTTCTTTCACCTTATTTTCGAAAAAATCGCCAGATACCTTCGCTTATGCAACTTTTCAACCCACTTATTAAGCATTTTAAAATGCAAAAAAAAAAACTCACCGAATCCACGAGGTTCTTTATTCCCGTTATGATAACTGAAATCCGGGTCGCTTTCTGTGCCCCAGTTGCTGAAAAATAACACAAATTACACCGAAATTTATCGAATCCTACGTTTATTATGTCTAAAATTTTACCACTTCAGTGCAAATATTTGCTACAAAAGTTACGAGTTATATTACCTAAACTTAAGTTTTGATAACGATTTCTATTGAATAACCGATAAAGAATTCCAAAATAATTTGATTTTGCATGTTCAGCTCACTTTCTGCTAAGAGATTTTGTTCATTATTTTCATAATCCAATATCTCAACAAATTCTTTTTTCACGATTTCTCCCTTTCCTCTACCATTCAGACCTACTCCTTAATCTGGTCTTAGGAATTTACTCACACACAAATATCATGCATAGTGGGTAAGGCTATACTGATGATTCCCACTCCTACCCGCACATATGGCTCTAACTGTATTTACTGCTAAGAGACCGAACACAGACTGTTCTAAGATTTGTTTACTGGTACACGCCGTATCTAGACACAACAACCCTATTATATAAATTTAATTTAATCCAAACAAAACAATGTCTTACTGTGTTAGCTCGATAGTTGCAATAGTGGACAATGCATAACGTCTTTGCTCCACTGGATCTTTCGGAATTTCTGAGGCTGGTTTATAGGCCAAAAAATACAGTGAAAATTTTCCATCAGGAAAATCCAGTTTCTTCAGAAGCCTGAAACATCATTTTTTTTTTGTTTTTTTGACACTATGCGGTAAATTCTACTTGAAGGTATGCAGTTCACGATCGAAAGGCCTGGTATAACTAAGTCTGGCTATAGAAGCATACCAGTAACAGCACTAACACAGAATACCCAGGCACATTGTCGAGGCAGTAAAAAAATTTCAAAATTTATGTTCTCGACAGCAGCGAAATTAAAATAAACAAAAATACAAATTAGCTAGTGCTACAGATCTTTTATATCTTGATGCTCTGGACAGCTGTAATTCATAGCGTGGTTCTGGAACCGCGCTGCTGGCGACTTTCCAAGTAGTCACTGTAACCAGTGTTACACTGTCTAGCGATCCTATTGCTGACGATCCTCAAATTTGGGTTATTAAACCTCAAGATATGAGTTAGTGGAGTGCTACAGACGTTTCAGATAATTCGAATCGAAAAATACTGAAGATATTTTCCCGTCAAAAATGAGCTGCAACACTCACCGCATGCCCAAAATGTTGCAATAAAATGGTAATGTCTTGCGTGGATCTTTGATACGAAGCATTGTTTGTTGAAAGTAAAAATCTTCCGTTTCCGGCGGTGGCTCCTTTACCAATATCTTGATCTGAAATTTTGGGTTTGTAATGGTGCAAAGCCAACGTGGTCAGGTGTTTTTGCAATCACAGGCGGATTCAGGAGAGGGAAGGGGGCAAGGGTCTTTCATCCCTCAGCGGCATTAGACACCAGTGCTGCAGAAGCCCAGGTCTAAAGCTAAAATTAAACTAAAGCCTAAAGTGACTCTAAACTAAGTAATTCTAAGTAGCAGTGTTACAACCTTATTCCTAGTTTTCGCACAGTCTTTCCCCCTCCCCCTTCCCGTGTGTCCTGCTTCCTCTTTCTCACCCAGGAGCTCATCCTGGATCCGACTATGTCCACCATCACACACTGTATGAACATAAAAATCAACACTCACGCTGTATGAACATAGAGAAAAAACTCAAGGAAAATGGTGTACTAATTCTATAACTGAACTGGAACATTTAACGTACAAAAAATTTTTAAAGAAAAAACCTATCAATTTTTTGAAATCCAAATTCTAAATTGATACGTAAGTAATCAGGGGACCATCAATAGCCTTGTCAGCGAACGGCTGCTATTGGCACTTGCTACTCTCGAAATACTTCCGAGCGCCTCCGACATTCGCAGACAGCGAACGCAAAACAGGTTTTGACTTTCTTCTCCGATATAACAAAAACCCAATATCTTCGAAGCTGAATCCTGAACCCAAGGCCGAAAGTTTATGAAGAATGGTCTAATAAACTTTAAACTTCTCCCGCAGCGTCCAAGGCTAGGTTGCAAAACACACACACACACATACATACATATACATCCACACTAAAGTCATCTTGAAATAACCAGAGCCTTAGCAAAAGCTTCTCTCTGAAGAACCACTGAGCTGATAATCCCTTCAGGAGACAAAACAAATGTCAGAACCGCCAACAAGCTGACAATCAGGTAATGCAGCACCGGCCAAGAAAACTGAGGAAGTTGCCAACTCAGTGAACGGTAAACCGTACTACAAGCTATTATCGGTACTCTAGGGTTCCCATAAACAATAAGCAAACTTCTCCCTCCCTAATTTTTCACGTTAGTTGATTCACGCATGATAAATTTTAGTGATTTTCGTAGCAAGTTTTAATAAATTTATTCTAAAAACAGTTATAAATTTAAATTTAGTTTTCTATTTTCTGAACCAAACTGTGTTTCCTCTTGAAATGATACATCTGCATTAAAATGCTTATATAAAGAAACATGAAGAGATACCGACCTCGTCATCACTGATCGTGGAGGGAGCGTCTCCGCTTCCTCCTCCTCCTTCACTCTTCGAGCCCATACTGAAAAAAAAAATTTTACCATCTTCCTCGAATAAATAAAGGTGGTGAACTAGCATCATTTTCAACTATCAAGTTATTCATTTCAAATTTACAAAGATAAAAAAAAACTTTACAGTTTCTGCTCAACGCATTCCAAAAAATTCCGGAGAAAAGCAACTCACCAATGATGCACCCTCATACTCTTTTTTTTTGTTTTTTATAATTATTACTTCATTATTAATATCCAAGAAAATAGGCTCATACAGGTTTACAAACTTCACTTTTACTTCTTCCCTTGCCACATAATATATCATATAATGATTTATGGTTTATTTGTTAAAAATGGCGTAAAGAAAAACTGCGTCACTATGATGCAATACCCCGGTCCCTGATTCAAACTTTGGACACCTACCCGTTTAAGTTTTGCAATCTTACTGATCTTTGACTCCAGGGGAATAAAAGCACTCCTCCCCATTCTCAAGATCCCACAACTGCTTCCCAGAACTACTCGAGAAAGCTACTTCTTGTCGACTTAATTTTTGTTTTACGTTGTATTACATTAGTTAATTCATGTACTTGCAAATATATATATATATATATATA